CAGGTTTGTCATTGGATTTGGGGTTTAGGGTTTAGGGTTTAAGGTTTAGGGTTTAAGGTTTAGGGTTAGGGTTGGGGGTTTAGGGTCTAGGGCTGAGGGTATACCTTTCTAGCTTCCCCTTTAAACCTTTTAGATTCTGAAGCGGGACGTGAGACAGATTGCAGAACCCAAGGCCTCATGGAATCTTTGGGGATTTATTTTTTTTGGGGGGTGGGGGGTGGCTCAAAACCCTGAACCCTGAACCCTGTAACCTACCTGTGGGAAGCCCCCAATCTCGTGAAAGGTACGGCCCTAAATCATTACTAATCTCATGTCCAAGTTTTTTTGAAGTACCCTAACCCAGACCCCTGATTAACAAACCGCCTCCCCTTAATGGGGATTATAATCGGGATGCTACGTAAGATTAAGGCCCCTAAAAGGACGGGGTGTATTAATCAGGGGTCCACATTATACCACACCTATGCGAGAAATCTAGGGCCACAATATGGGCATTTTTCATGAAATCTTCTCAACAGAGCCTCATCCGAAATAGAAGCCGCCGTGCATCACTGCAATACAGGATCTAATGATGTTATGAAACAGCAAAGCTGAAACTTCGGGTTAACAGAATGGTCAGTTAGTTGTTCAGGTCTAAGTTGAAGGTTTAGGGTTAGGGGAGCTCACGACCTAGTACAAGAAACATTTCATCAAGACAATTTGGAGTTCTGGTATTCCGAAACCCTGGCCACTAAACCCTAAACGCTACACCAAGTTCCTAAGAGTGTGAGATTCGTAAAGCTGTTAAGACCTGAACCACAAACCGGGATTTCCTCCATGCAAAGCCCTAAACCCTTAAACCCTGGCTCCACCTTCATCATTTCGCACTGCAGAGGTCTCAAGGTCGACGTCGGCTGAAACTTTCGCAGGCTTTTCTGCTGCGTCCTGGCCGTCATGTGGACTTAGCAGTTCAGGACCCTGTAAAATCTTCTACCTGGACCCTGGATGTCCTACCTTTTTGGGGGTATACCCTACAATTTTATGGGACATTACCCCCAAAAAGGAAGGACATCCAGGGTCCAGGTAAGCATCTCTGCAACCCTCCCTCATTCCATTCCTCATCTGGCCTTTGGTTAGCTGGGAATGAAGGAATGAACAAGAAAATGGAAACTACGACAATGGGCTCTCTAGGGGGTGGGAATCAAGGAATGGAAAAGAACATGGAAACTACTACAATGGGTTATCTAGGGCCTACTATGAGGACACATTCCTTCATTCCTAGTTAACCAAATGCCCGTCATTAAATACGATACAGCTTCGCCTCCGTGCTGATGGGCTGGGGCTGGATTGACAGTATGCTCTCTGTTTGCGTGTTCCCTGCATGGGCATCACTCCTTTCATCCACAGCCAGCTAGAAATTAAGTATGATGTGGACATGAAAGCTCATGAGAAATTAAGTCATTGCAGTTGTGTTTGGATATCAACCTATGCATGGGCTTAGGCTTAGGGTTAGACCATGGACGACAAACGCCAAACCTGAATCTCCAGACCTTGAGGAGGAGTCTAGATCCTCCAGCCGCCATGGATTCTCCAAACACTTCAGTAAACTATTGACTGGGGTGGTAGAAAGTGGCGAAAGTATACAAACATCGTTCAGGACATCCCTAGTCCCTGAATCCCTATATATCCCACACGCAAACCAGTTTCAAGTTCCGGCTCCATTCCCTCAAACCGTACGGAAACCTTTACCTCGAAATTCCGAGTCCTAAAAGCTGACTTAAGCCTCCAAACGCTTCCAAAGACCATAGAGTTTAGCTGAGCCAAGCTATCGATCGGGAAGTTATATGAAACAAAAACGCATTCCAAACACTAAACCCTATATAACTTTCAAAGGGCTTTATGGAGGTTGTACAACCATTTATAAGGTTCATAGGGAACATATAGGGAACCTTACATAATCCCTGGAGACCCCTTCAAAGGGAACCTTACTGTAACAGTAAGCTAAAGTAAGCCTCGGCTCATGGAGGCTAAGGGCTTGTTAATCCCCAAATCTAAGCTCTCAGCCCTTATAAACAGGCCTAAACCCTAACCCTTAGGTTCGAAATCCTTACCTTTACGGATTTCGAAGTCCTAGACCTTGTAAACTAAACTTTAGGTTCTTAGTCCTTAGCCCACAGAGTCAAAGTACTCCATAACTGGAAGCTTGAAGTTTTGGCGCTGGTAACCATATCACAGGCTTTGATCTAATTGGACCCTCCACTTTAGACCTTAAACCCACACCCTGAACCCT